ACGTTTGTTATGTATTGTCGTATACTATAGTAGTTATTATTATTATATATATATATATATATATATATACGGGTCAAAGACATATCGCATCATTCCTTTCCAGTTGAGAGTTGGAAACTTTGTTCGTCTTTCTGAACATCTGTGCGTAATTACAACTGCATTCGCATACAATATTTTTCGCCTATCCCGTGTCACTTTTCCTTTTGATTTAATATATTTTCTTATCATATTTAAATTGGTGTAGATGCATAGCTTCACTGACTAGGATGACGATCGGGGCATTAGACTGTATACAGATTTTGGCGTACTGTGTGTCATGCGCACGTCGCACCCGAACAATGACGAAACTCATGCTGTTGTTTTTTGCACTACATGACACGACAGATGGAGCTCACAATGGCGTTGCGGAGAAACCAAAGGTGAAAGGCAAAGGCAAACCCGGGCCTATCTCCAAATACACCCGTGGCCAGGCTAATGTGACCAAGAATGTAAAAGATAAGAAGCTGAAAGGGTACTTGAAGAGAAACGAGAAAGATGCGAGGGCGGCGGCCGCGAAGGCTGCAAAATGGGAGGTGTGTTTCGTTTTCTCTCTTTGCCTCGACTTCCATCAGTGCGTATATATTTATGGGTGGGCAAGGTATGGGTGGGCAAGGTTATACTTGTACCAACTCGCTTGTTCTGCATTGTATAGCTGATAGTACTCCTCGTGCAAGTTTGGAGTTGATTGAGCTGTAGACTCTGCCAAAGCTGGGGTTTTAGTATCAGGTCGGCTACTCTTCATTTTAATTTTGCTTTCTGTGGCTGAATTGGTGCATGTATGTTTACGCTTAATGCCCCAATCGGCTAGACTAACGTATTACCTTAGGTTATCAATCCAGATCGAAGGTTTTACAAATGTGCGCTTTGTTACTTACCTCTCCGGATTCATCGTCAAATTAATACACAGATTCTACTGCCCGAGCAACAAGGTTTCTTGGAAGCAGAGGGCATGGAGAAAACGTATCAATTCACACAGAAAGCCATTGTGAAAGAAGTAGATCTGCAAACACAAACGAAGCAATTCAACTTGACACTTGAGAATGCAGCGCCATACAAAGTAGACTATGATCGGACGGGTCGTTATCTTCTGATTGGGGGAAGGAAGGTGTGTAGCATATATCGTGTATATTGAATTTCGGTGAGGAATCAATATGCATTCGAATGGTTCCGGTATATACAATTCCGGGCTTGACTTAGGGTTGGCCTATCCTGGCACGTATAGCTACCTATAACAAGTTACGCATGTAGCACCATAAGATGCGGTGGTTTTTTTTGTTTGCTGGTTTTTTCCCATTATGACGCGCACCAGCTCATGATTCTGTACTTATTGTCCGAGTGGGAAGAAGCTTCGAAAGTGCCCTCGTTCGGATCATGTATATGCGATTTGAACCCCCAGTACTTGCACCCTCTCCCAGACACATAGCAAACCCCATACACGATACATAAACACTTTGCACGCGTCTCTGCTGATAGCTCGACTGTGTCCGCTTGTTACATACTCAGGGGCACGTCGCCACTTTCGACTGGAGAATTGGCAGTTTAGGATTTGAAATCAACCTCAATGAGACGGTCCGTGACGTGCAATGGCTACACAATGAAACCATGATGGCAGTCGCACAGAAAAAATACGTCTACATCTACGACCGAACCGGTGCGGAGATGCACTGTCTGCGAAATCACATAGAGGCTGAGAGGCTCACATACTTGCCCTACCACTTTCTGTTGGCGAGTGTGGGCAAGGCTGGGTACCTGAAGTACCAGGATACGTCAACCGGCAAGCTTATAAGCGAGCACAGAACGAAGCTGGGCGCGTGCAATGTGCTGACTCAGAATAGCTACAATGCCGTGGTATTAACGGGACATCATAACGGGACAGTGGAGATGTGGACACCCAATATGAGCACGCCCGTGGTTAAAATGCTATGTCACAAAGGACCGGTGAGCGCAGTGGCTGTTGATCGACTTGGAAGGTATGTCAGCCATATCTGTAGTGTGTGACAGGATCCGCTGGATATAAGCAGTTGCCAGAGATCTTCACTCATATTGTCGCTTGTTGCCTGTTATGGGAGCTTGCTGAACGGACAGCACGCAGAAAGGACTCGTTGCTGATGTCTTTTATGTAGCTAGGTGTCTTATCTTCGCCGTTGATTGGCAACGGATGCGTTCTATCCTTAGATGTGACTTTTGCTACAACGCTTTGACATTTTAATGTCTGGATTATTGATTTCGCAAATCATGCAATGGTCGACGACAGTTTATAATTATGTTTCGAGCACGAGATACGAATACACTACACACATTGTCGTTAAAGGCTGGATTGCATCAGATTCGTATGAGGAACTCGCCTCGCGACGTACGTCTAGGGCGCGCATTGGCATGTGATGCTTAAAATACCGTTCAGATGCATAATGCCGAACTTTGCAAGACTTCGTTACAACCTACCGTGCCACATACTGAGCTGCACAATGCTATTCCATCTCCCACCCACAGATATGTAACCACCGCTGGTCTGGACGGTCAAATGAAGGTCTGGGACGTGCGCACCTACAAACACATACACTCGTACTTCACTCACACACCAGCCAACTCGCTGCACATATCTCAAAGCGGTTTGCTGGGAGTGGGCTTCGGTTCGCATGTGCAAGTGTGGAAGGATGCATTCCAGACGAAACAGGCCGTTCCATACATGCAACACGAGCTAAAGGGTCCCGTTGTCGACGATATCACCTTTGTGCCGTACGAGGATGTGCTGGGTGTGGGTCACAGTAAAGGCATCAGCAGTTTGTTGGTGCCAGGCGCCGGTGACGCGAACTTTGACGCGCTTGAGATCAATCCGTACGCCAATAAGAAACAGAGACAAGAGGGCGAGGTGCGTAGTCTTCTGGAGAAGATTCCGAGCAAGCTCATTACCCTGGATCCAAATAGTGTGGGCAGGATGGACCGGGGAACTGTTGAGACGATAGCATTGGAGCGCAAGAAGCAGTTCGAGGTGTGTGCATGTGCAATTAGTGCTTATATTGTGGACTACTGTGCGCGTATGTGTGTGAGGAGAGTGTGGGGTACCGCCTGTCTATACAACACATTGTCAGTAATACAATTTTCACTTCGCGGCTATATATAAATTGCACAAAACATAGCCATATTGTTTATGTGTGATGTTTTCGATGGGCAAGTCGATTGTATGATTTCATGTACCAGTATGTTTGAAAGAAGCGTTCAGAACGTCCCTACCATGTATCACCCATACCTCACACCGACTCAAACTATCATACCCCTTCAAATTCCGTGATAAAGGCGAATAATCCAACTAAGAAATTCGAACCCAAGCACAAAATGCGTGGCAAGAGTTCGTCACAAAGAAGGGTGTTACGGAAACAACTGAATGTAATCGATGAGAGGAAAACGCAGCTAAGGGAGCGTTTGGAGAAAGAGAAGCAGGAACGGAAAAGAAAGCGCGAGGGCCATACCGGGCCAGCTCCTGAGGAGACTAGGTCGCCACTGGATAGGTTTAATTAGAAGTGAAAAGGGTCCGTACGCGGGGGCTAGTACGTTCTGTGCTGTACTTTCTGTCATCAAATCAAAATAAATATAGTAGATGTATTTCGCATATTTGTTCTCTACTAATTGTCACCCATAAATTTAACAAGCTTCATCGAATTCTAATGATCAACCCGGAGTGACCCGAATTATATTTAAGGCACCTGCAGGAACAGGTATGGAAGGGAAAAGACAAAGCTGTGATAATAGCTATGCTGGAGTGTAAATTACAATCTCGCATTGCTTTTCTTGGAATGCCGACAATGTTGTGTATCTATACGTTCCAACATGTACAAAACATGTACGCAACAACAAACTCTCACCCCTCGGGATTCTTCAGGCCGGTATCTCATACGTTTATTGAATTACGCATATACACGATGAGTCAATTTCACGAAAGCGCATACCCAGCACATGAGGCGCAAATATTGGTATGTTGTGTCATCTTGTGTATATTATCACGGGCAATCTTCGTCCTTATGTGCGAGTTTGTAGTCTCGGCACAACAATAGAGCATGTTGGAGTGTCAAACAAAGCGTGGGTCACCAAACTATAAACTTGGGTTGTGAAGTTCGGTGAAACTTCAAAACCCAGACCGACATGTAAATATTCGATATATGGCCCAACTGCTTCTGTCTCCCTATTCGAGCCAGCAATGTGTACAGAGCCAGCAATGTGTACATCACGGTGCTACTTGAATGTCCTGATGCCACATTCCACAACAGAGACTATGTTTCCCGCTCACCCTTCGTCAAGTATGCTCTCCTAGCTAACTGACCAGGCAACAACGCTCCTTTAAAGCAGTACATTTACAATTCAATACGTACATCACGCACAGCACTGAAGTTCCAAGGTTTTGGTCCAACACTTGCGCCTTTTCGGCAATCGTAGTAGAAAATCTACCAAATACTAAGGCTTGGCTGAATTTCCAGTCCCTATGGTTGAATCACTCGATCATTTCCCAGCCGGTCCGCCAGGGAGCGGCTTGTTAAAACCACCTCGGCGATTCATATACTGCACATGGATGAGTGCAGCAACATGGAACATTATTGGGATGTTGCTGAAAGGGACTATAAACTGGTAGTGCATAGTGTACAGTTTACTATATGTACTTGCCGAGAATGCGGCCCCGATTTCAACACCTCAGAAAACAGAGCGGCGTTTAAGGTGTAATTGGGGCGAGCACAACAAACACAGGAACCTATCATGAGAGGCAATGTGCCAATTGCGAAGTATACGAATGAAAAAATATTCATACCTGGCGGTATTCGCGTTTGTGTTTAACTATGACCCCGCTGACATCAGTCCCTGGTACGTGCTGACCCTGATAGCGAAGTTGTACGAGATGGATCAATGTTATTGGATGTTAAGTGTTGAAGGTGTACTGGAGGTGCGCCATAGCTTGCTGCGCGCTCAGGCCGCATAGTCAACATGCATTAATGAAATGCCTCTAAATTAAAACGAAGGCTAGCCTTGGATGGTCGGCTTTGATCGTGCATGTACCTTTATATTATGATTGTCCATTTGGTGTTCATCTCTCTGCGAATCTCAATTGCCTCAACTTTTACCGACGCATTTGTCACAAGTCAGTCTGGATCAGCTCGAAAACTTAGAAAACTTGCCACACCGTACACTACCACATACATAACCCAACTACCAGACTATGCATACAGCGTATATCATGATTCATGCTCTATTGTGTACCTGGGTGGAATCGAATGAGCTAAATCCCATCAACTTTGCCATCAAGTCGGCCTCTTCCACTACTTCACCCTCGTCCAAGGACTCCTCTCCCGCTTCCTGGGCAGCTGGAGGCTTATCGAGCGATCTAGATGTAAATGATGTAGGTTAACGGGGTGTACGAGATATCAGCGTGCAGATAACTATTCATGACATAATACTATTGCGAGCTAGGAAAACACTGCAATACGAGAGCAAGGCAATTAACTTTGTAGCCTGGTGATTTGACAAATAGTACGAAAGAAAAAACCTGAAAGAACACAGTCTAATGTGCAGTGTTAAACGAATAGATGGCGATATTTCGGCCATACACCCGATGCATCGCGGTATTTCCTAAGAAATCAATGAAGGATTTATGTGTTCAAAATAATTTACATCCTGAACCCAGTTTGAACAATACACGACAATCGAATAGGACAGATTGGAACAAGCACAAACACTCAAACAGTATAATCACGCTATAGTGATTAATGTGCTACCGCGACGAGCCACATAGAACGATACTTTACGAGCAGACAATTGTACTAAAGCATACCCGTACCTGCCAGCGTCTCTTTCATCGCGTCCGCCCCTGCTTCTCTCGTCTCTCTCCTTTTCATCCCTCTTCCTACTCTTGTCACGGTTCGATTTCGAATCTCCGTTGGTGCGGCTCCTCTCCCTACTCCTGCTCCTCTCCCTACTCCTGCTCCTGCTCCTGCTCCGGCTCTTAGATCTGGTACTCTTGCGCCTGCTGCTTCCACTGGTAGACTTCTTGCTCCTCTCTGTGGGTCTGTCTTTGTCCTTGTATTCTCTGCCATCTTTGTCTCGATCTCTCTCACTCCCCCGTTCACGCCCCCGTTCTCGTTCCCTGTCTCGCCTCCTCTGCCTTTCACGCTCTCTGTCACCACCCTCCCCTCTACGACTACCGCTGCCATCGCCTCTATCTCTGTCTCTGTCTCGGTCTCTGTCTCTGTGTGAGTCCCGACGCCTCGACCTGGTATAGAATTTGAGCACCTCCGTTATGCTAAGGAATCAAAATCTGAGAAGGCACACAAACCGGTTTTTCGCTCCCTTGTTTGACGTATTCAAAGCAGATCCCCGTGCTATCAGAATTTGTCCCAATTCATGGATAGTCACGACCCCACCAACACATAAAGACGCTTACGACCGCATGTATATAAGAAATGACTTCATAAACTCCAAACTTATTAAGCTAAAGTACCTGTCTCTGCTCCTTGATTGACTTCGTGCACGGGACGACTTGCGACTACGACCACTGGAATTTGCTAATCTGGAGAGTTCCTCGTCATAATCCTCATCTACGTTTACAAAAGAAATACCACCAATAAGAAGTTTGTGAAATTTTATTCATTACTATCGCATGAAGCTTCAAATTATATGTATCTATACATCTATATATCCAT